GTGCCTAATTTAAGTAGTCTGCTTACACATTACTATATAAGTTCTATACTAGTTGCCATACTTGCAAGCCAACTAGGGGTCTTGCCTATTTAAACTATAAAAATAATCTTATTAATATTATAAAAAGATTATTTCTTATAAATTATTGAATACTATCACATCTTATCTTAATTCTTTTTGTGTCTATTATAATAATATTATTATTTCTTATTATTATTATTATTATTATTTCTTATTATTATTATTTCTTTTATATTTTATCTTCTCTTTTTTGCTTTTTCTCTAGACACTTTTTTCTTAAAATTCTTAGTTTAATATTTCTTTTTTTTTATTTTTAGATTATAATTATTTTTTTATTGTGTTCAATAACTTTTTTATTTTATTCTTTATATTATATCCAAACCTTAATTACAAATCACATGAAATTTTAAAATTTTATTAGACAATTAGTTAACAGAAGTTGATTTTTATAAACTGTATGATAAACAAAATTAGTAAGATATACTATTATAATAAAATAAATAAAGTAAATGTATGACTGTTGTATGGTCATATGTTCAAATTCAACTAATAGATATGTTAACTCTGCCTGACAAGGTTTATAATAACAGCATTAGCCTGTAGTATAAATAGTATTTTTGACTTTTAAACTATAAAGAAAGATATTACTTTTACAATATTTTAAAAATTAGAATTATAGAACAAGTTATTGAACACAAAAATTTAATAAACAAGTTAGACAAAATACAGAAATATTTTAAGAACAACAAAAAGAATGATAAAAGAACTGAACTATTTACTATTTATACTAAGTTAGAAAATAATGTTTGTTAACTTTGTAATAACAAAAGACAAATTTTATAAAGATACTACAATAGTAATTATTTAGAATAATATCATGAATGATGAAACTGAAAACTACAAGTTGTTATTGAAACTGTGCTTTATAAAACCTAACATTTTATTATTTATTACTTTATAAACATTACTTATTACTTATTACTTATTATTTTATTAATTATTATTTTATTAATTATAAAAACTTAATATACAAATTCAAAAAAAAAGATTATATTTAAGAATTTTGCTAACTATAACTGGTGGTGATAATCACCAGGTCACATGATGTATAAAAATGCACAAGAAAGATTATACAAAATTAATAAATAATTACATATATTTATGCACATGTTTGTGTAACTTCTATATAAAACAAATACTTTGTAAATAAGTACTGCATATAAAGTAGTATAATCAGGTTAATAAATTTAATAATGTGTTTCTTATACCTAGACATATTATAGTTGATTAGACTTTATCGACTAATACTTGAATTATTCATATAAACCTATAACTTTAGTGTACTAACATGATGTATAATTCTAACTCTAACTGTAACTACATGCTAACACAAGTATATTCTAACTCTAACCTTAACTACATGCTAACAGAAAGTATTTTTCTAACTCTAACTTTAACTCTAACTTTAACTAGCATAACCTACTAATAGATTATCATATTCATCATTAACCAACCAACTTGCATTTCTGTATTTATAATGCTTGTCTTTTAAATAAAATATTTAACTTTGGATTATTTGAAATTATTTTAAACAATGACTATCAATATTGAAGTAAACTACTATTAAACTTAGTATTTATAGTTGTGAAACATTAAATTGTTATATCTTTAGAAGTACTTTGAACTATATAAATTAGTTATTCAGATAATATATTTGAATCAGCTGATCAAACAAATGCCTTTCTATGAACCTTATACAAGTGTTACTAAAAGAAAGCCAGAAATTGGGCTTTTAATTATCATTAGTGCCAGACACTATCTATTTAATTTGCTAGGAACAATGTCTGGCACCAAAGATAATTAAAAGCCTGATTTCTGGCATTTTTTTAGTGACACTCATATGCAAAGTAAATTTAGCACAAGATATAATCAAAACAATATAATAGTATAATTCACTAAAAACAATAACAAATAAAAAGCATTAAATAATCAAAGCATATAAGTCAATTCTCATAAATAATAAACAAAAACAAGTTACAATGCAAAACATATAGATCAATTTATATAAATAATAAACAAAGGGCAAGCTAATTAGCACTTATTACAGCTCCTAGAATTGTGCTCAGATTTACCATATGCTTGACAGATATATTTGTGTTTGCTTTCATTATCATTTGTTTGTATTATTAAAGATTCAGTTGAAAGATCTTTATTTGTCTTATACAACTCTTTAATATTCATAAGTTCTAAAGGAACTTTTGATACAGTTGCATTATTTGATTGTTTAGTTAATCATATGCATAAATTAGAATCAGATAAATTAAGTGCACTATTGTTAGTTCTATCATGTTGTATATTGCTTTCTGATGATGCTTTGATTTGTTTGTTTGATGGATGTTCACGATGCTTAATAACTATGAGATCTGATATTTGCATTTGCATATTTTTTTTATTTGCACTTTCAATACTGCTTTTTTTAAGATCAATAAACATTAATCAAATTAATGAATTCATCTTTATACTTCAAATCAAAAGCCATATTAAGTGCCTTCTTAATTTTTCCGAAGCCATGTAAATATTTAGCTTTTCTTTGAACACATTGTTGTATTTCAGCAGTGAATACATGTGGTACTTTAATTTGATTAAAAATATAAAAATCATTTATGATACAGTTATTATTATCAATTTGCTAAAATTGCATGATTACTTCCACTGATTTATCTTGCAAGTTTGAATGAACATTATTCTAAAAAGTTTCTATGTACTATTGCTTTGAAATTAGATTAATATTAAATTTTGCAGTTTTTGAATTTATTATTATATGAAAAAAATGTGAATACACAATACTATGATTAATAACTGCCAAATAAGTATATAAGTAGCCTTCATCAACCAGTAAAACAACATAATGTTTGTATGCCTTTGTAAGCCTGATTAATTCCTATATCTCAACAATGTCAACTAGTTGTACTCTATCCATTAAATAAAATAGAGTCACATGTGGTCTGTCAAGTTGGTCTTTAAGAAATCTCTTATTATAATCAATATTATTATTATTTTAAATATTATAACAATAAAATATTATAATTGTAGTAAGTACTATAACAACCTTTTAATCTATTTTAAATAATAGTAATTAGTAAGATTAAGCTAGTTAGTTATATTAATATTATTAATTAAATAAGTTCATTGATCAAAACAATAAATATACCTGTGTATTCTTTATTGCATCTTTAGAAACTAGCATTGAATAATATAATAAAGCCCTAAGAATTTGTTGCTGCTAAACAGATAGAATGTGAGAAGTTGAATATTTCTTCATTAAATCAAAAACCTTAAAAAAAATCAGTTCTATAATTGAAGGTGCATCATTTATTAGAAGACTTTGAAGATAATTATTATGTCAGACCCATTGGGCTTCATTATCTGGTAAATTTTGAATGTGATTATGCAATGTGCATAGCAAGGATATGCTATTTGTTCACTCTTTCATTAATCTGTTTATTACTTCAACTTTTTGCATGCTTTGCATTCCTGTTGTGAAAATATTAATTTGAAAGCATTTGGCCCATGCCTGATAATTTGGATATAAATTATAATTAAGATACTTTTGTGACTTGGAAAATTTGTCAATTAATTGTGCCTATCACTGATGAAAGTCATTCTCAAACAAATATATAAAAACTTCTTGTAAAATATTTCATAATTTTTTCCTAATTTACTTTGTAAATTCTTTCTTAAATTTTCTTGTATATAGAATATACTAAGAAAATGATGGGTACTAGGCATTTTTGATGCCATCACATTTATTAACACAGAGTCAGCATCTGATAACAAACAAACTAGTAGTACATTATTGGTTACTTGAAGAATGCACTCAAAAAACCATACATAGCTTTGGACTTTTCATTTTCAAACAAACACTGAGCAACTAATCGACTCTTTGTATTATTGTACACAATGATCAAAAGGGTCAAATACATGTTAAACCAATTAGTACAACATCTATTGTCTATTTGAACTGCATCATTATATTGCAGAAGACATTGGTGTTGAAGGGAAGACATCCAGAACAGTCCAATGAGTTGATTATCATCATGGATCGATTCTTGTATAAATTATCCAATCTTCTTCCTTATGTTTTAACTCTAACAATTTGTTTACCATGTTTTGTGCATCTTCATGTCAGCTTGTAAGAGGTGGTTTAAACCTTTTTATAGCATTATAAATATCCTTTTTTAATATAGCATAGTCTGAAAACTTAGCAACTAGTAAAGAGTATATCTGTTTTGCTTTCATGTTATCTTTAGTAACATAGAATTTAATGTTCTTCATCATACTATCTGTTAACTTTCGATATTTAGAAGCATATAATTCTACATCACATAACATAGGATGGTTATGTTCTTTATATATACTTGTAATACCAACCTCAGTTAATGATTTTGGCTTTGTAAGATTAATATGCCAGGAGCAATTAATTTTTCTTGAAGGCTGTTGACACTGCTGATTAAATCAATAACTTTATTATGAACTACCTTTTCAGAAAAACTATATTCAAATATCTGTCATTGAACATTTCCTTCTGCATCTACTTAAACTTGCTTATGACGTAAAGAAAATCCATTGTACTTAGCATACTTATTGAGATGTGATTCTGCAATGTCTCAAGAAAAAAATGTATCATCAACATTAATTTGATTATCAGATCCACCAACATTAATTTGATTATCAGACCCTAAGATAATACTTTCATTTGAAACATCGTTATAATTATTAGACCCTAAAATGATACTTTCATTTGAAATATCATTACAGCTGCTCTGAATTGGCTGAACTTCTGATACTAATTCACTTTCTGTATTTGTATAATATTGTTTATTAGAAATCTACTAACCGTACAAAAAACAAAATTTATAACTTTAACTTACCCTCTATATTTATATTTATTACTAACAAAATGCCAAAAAGGTTTCAAAAACTTAAATGTATTGTATATTATTATACAAAAACAGATTTAATAATGTTTTTATAAAGAGTCTTCACAAATATACTTCTTTTAGATAACCTTTTACCCTATAATGGTCTTTATAATTACTTTCCTACTTCAATGCCAAATTGGTTATGATAAAGTTAATGTGGTATTTTGGCAATGAGGTTTTACTAGTAAGCTGCTATTATATGTATAAAGTTAATAAACATAGTCTAAATTTATAAATTCACTAATTTTAACAATAAGCACAACACAAAATTACTTTATACAGCTTAATTTTTAAGTCTTATAGAGATTTTGCTAATGTCTTTCCTACTTCACCATCAAGATGATAATTGTAAAGTTCAGAATGATAGTTTTACAAAGAGCCACTTTCCTTTTATACCAAGCTATTATTATATGTATAGTACGAAAGGTTCAACAATTTCAGCATTCATAAGCATAAGCATACAATATAAACTTACTTTATACATTTCAATATTAATAAGTATGAAATTTTTAGATTCATTATACTAACACTTATTACTGAATTTTAGTTAGATTATTACCTTTTGTTTGTTCAAATAACACATACATTTAACATGACTCGATGCATAGAAGAAACTGTCAATGTTACATGACTTATCCTTTACTCAGTATGCAACATATAAATATTTTAAAATAACAGAACATGTACTAACAGTATTATAAAATAATTTATTTATATGTTGCACACCGTATGAAGGATCAGTTGTGTAACATCAATGGTTTCTGCTATTAACTCAATGTAACCCAATGTAACTCAATGTAATTTAACATAACTTGACATAACTTAATGTGACTTGATATAACTCACTTATGTTACACAGTGATCATTACTACTGATTACTAGAACTAAAACTCTATATTTAATATAAAATTTTATTATTATTATTATTATTACTATTTACAAAATATTACAAAAATATCTTTAGCTTTTTTCTTTCTTTCAACCTTCTTTGCAACTCCTGAATTTTATTTTTTAAATTTGCAACCTGAACTTATAACAAATTTCTTTCTGTAACCACCTACTTGTAAATAGTACTTTATTGTCATTCTTGTTAGATCACCTTGAAATTTAGTAGAGCCCTTTTACTTACTTTAGCCTTCAAATTTGTAACTTGATTTTGAAAAGAAAATAAATAAACAGAAATTGTTTGATTTTTGCTTTGGTAAGGCATCTATAAAACAAAAAATTAGAACATATATTCTAAATAATATACTTAAAAATAATAATAATAAAAAATATTGAAAAACAGTTAAGCATCAGTCATTACTTAATTGCAAGAAAAAAAAAGAGAATAACAAAAGAGAAATTATCTACTAAGTCCAAAAGAAATTATCTGCCTAGCTTATTCAAATAAATAACTGACCTTATCCTAAAGTGCCTTAATATTAAACAAGACAAGCTTACAGCCTAAAAAGTATATACACCTTAGCAAAAAACAAGAGATAAAAAGGCAAGTTTATCAACAAGAAAAGTTTTTTGATAAGAAAACTAGTAGAAAAAAAAAAGAAAATAAAAAGTTTTGTAGACCAAAATATAGTAAAAATTGAATGAAATAAATAACAAAAACAGTTACAACAGAAAATTAGAATTTTTATTTGATAGACAAAGAACAATTATAGCAAAAATAATATAATTACTAAATTTAAAAATAGATGAACCAACCAGAACAAAGTTACTAATTTTAAACAAATTAGTAAATAAGGTTCAGAAACCTTATATTTTAAAAGAAAAAAAATAAAAATAATACTATAATTACAAAAATAAAATAGAATAGACATATAGTAATACAAATTTTCTAAATTTTAGAACAAAGAATTGTTTAACATATATTGTAAATAATGTAATCTTAAATGAAATACCAAAAGGAAGTATGTATTAAATAAATTTAGTCATTATTAAGTGTAAAACAGCATAGGTTAAACAAAATTAATAAGAAACAGCATAAGTTAAATGAATTACAAATTATTGTGCCAAAGATTGCTTGGTATAGAAATGTGAAAAGAATTTTAATAAATATAAAAAAAACTAAAGAAATATCTTTCTTAATATTAATTTTCTCTATACTATTCAACTGAATCTCTAATAATCTTAACAAAAATGAACCTATCATAGAACTTACCAATATGGATTACTTTGCAAATTTACTACAAAGCCCTCAAATTACAGGGTCTCTGTAAACAAGTATAATATCCAGGTACTATTATTTGTGAAACCAATAGTACTATTCTTATTCTCAATATGAAAACCTTATATATATTGCCAATAATCTGTAATGATGATCTATTAACAAAAATAAAAATAGATCTGCTCAACAATGCACTAAGTCATATTTTTTCTGTAACAGTGCTAATAATCATCACATCAATATAGGAAAATTGCTATATCAAAATTACTAATGCATACTAGTTAGTTGTCAGTCCTTTTAACTATAACTGAATATATTGTTTAGCTTATAGCTATTATTTAGGAGTCCTATTAGTAGACAAACTGAATTATAACAAGTTTATAAAGGCAAGTAGAATTAAGGCCTAAACTAGAATCTATTAATTGTTCAAAGCTATTGGCTATAAACAAATATATTGAATAAAGAAACTGACTCTAAAACATATCAGTGATATGAGTGAAGCCAAGTTTAATCAATTAGTTGATTTTTGTGAATAATATAAAAGTTATGAGAATTTTATAAAACAATTCTTAAGAAAAGAAAAATGTTACAAAGTAGATTTTAGCATAGTATATTATAAAATAGCATTAGTAGTTATATATATTTATTATTGTATTTTATATATTATATTATATTTATTATTAATTATTAGTTAGTTAATAGTTATATTATATAGTAGATAGATAAAAGGATTTTAATTGGCTATTAAAAATGTAGTACAGTCACATGACACTAAGTAACATTTATGATATTACTATCATTTTATAAACTTCAAATACTCTGTACAAGTTTTATGTATCTTAGCACCAAATTACTATATCAAGTATCACAACACAAGAATTTAAAATATCTCTAACATGAACCCCAAGTGTCTTCACATGAACTTTAAGTATTCTTGCACAAATCTCAAGTGCCTTTGCACAGATCCAAATGTCTAAACACAAGCCCCAAGTGTTCCAAGCACAAATAACAAATAATATAAATAATATCTCCAGTTGCCTTTATTCAATTTCCACTACCTTAAGCATAGTATCATTTAATGTTGTTTAAATCTTTACTACCTTAAGTACAATGATATTTAATGTTGTTCAAACCCTCATTATTCCAAGTACAGTATCAAGTAATGTTGCTTGAATCTCTACTATCACTACTAGATAAAAAGATATATAAAGGGTACTTTTTTTTCTTCCTTTCCAATTCTAAGTTTCTATACTTTAATTTAGATATAATGATTTTTTAATTATAAAGTATAATATTATCCCTTTAGAATAATTTTTATAGGCAAAATTGTTACTATGTATGTTTGTTTAATAAAATTAATCTATATACTGTTACTATTTTAAACTGTTTGTCTGCTGCTATGTAATAAAGTAAATTACTACATCTCTATCCTATATATATTTGCAATAGTCAATCACTATACTGAATGACCTTGTTACTTGGTTGTATTGTATCAAAAAGGCTACAACTCTATAACAATATTTAATTAAAATATAATAAATTTATTTTTAAATTGTAATATTATAGTATAATTTAAAATAACAGTTATTAGATTTAAAATTATTAATAAGTTTTTTGATTTATTTTATAAAATATAATATATTAGAAGGGATAATATGACTTATATTATATTATATACACAATATTCTAAAGTTGAAATAATTACAGTATTAATAATATATACAACTTGTTTATCTGTAATATTTTTAATTTTAAGTATATTATTGAGTTTAAGTGTTTCTTGTTGTATTAATTTTGTTTAAGTTATATATTATAGAGCAACTATAAACTAGCAATATAGAAATTTAAAAGAAATGTTGTATAGTTGTGCTTGAATTAATTAGTTTATAAAATTAATATATATAATAGATTTGATATTTGAGATTAAAAAGGATTTATATGAATTAACTTTTATATAAATAATTGTATAAAAGAATGCAACTGTTTAAATAATTGCTTGAAGCTGTTCTATTAAGTTTATAATCTACAGTATATTATTAATCTATTCTAGTATGAATATAAAAATAATAACAAATTGATATCTGCTAAGACTGATTTGAATAAACTATTTAATTGTAGTAGTATAACTAGTATATATTTTATATATATAACTTATTAAAGAATTGTAGTAGATTTAACAAAAAAGAGTTATAGTTTCACCTTGCTTTATACTGTCTTATATCTTATATAAGAAAATTTGAAACTTCTAATTCATGTAAAATTTCATGAATAAATATGTTTTTAATATTTCTTTGAATTATTGTTCATTGAATATATATTTCAAATTTTTTTAAAATAAGATTTGATATTATTTATTTATTTTATTTATTTTTTAAAAAATTAATATTATACCTGTTTTAGAATAATGCTTTATATTTTATATTACATTAACTATAAAATGCATAAAATACAATTAAAATATATAAGAAAATAATAATATTTATAATTTTAATTTCTAATAACATGCATATAAGTTATTTTTATTCTTTTTAAGCATATATATTTAAATCTATAAGTATCAATATTTAGTATTCAAGAATACTGATTTTGTGAATAGGAGAAACTGTTGATATTACACAACTGATCTTTTATTCAGTGTGCAACATATAAATAAATTATTTTACAATACTAGACAAGAATATAGTTTAAACAACATTCGGCTAATAGCATTAATTTAGACATTCAGAAAAATTGTAATAAAGATGATAACAAGAAAACTCAGCAAAGTATTTGTTAAAAAAGGAATTCTGCTAGTACATGTTATGATTATAATCTAACACCATTTTATTATAATAATCATAACATGTACTAGTAGAATGATCTGGTATTGTAAAATAATTTATTTATATATTGCACACTGGATGAAAGATCAGTCATGTAACATCAATGGTTCCTCCTGTTCACAAAATCAGTATTCTAGAATACTAATAGAATAAATTTTATTACCTGCAAAATTTACTTATTACCCGCAAAATTCATAACTTTGTAAGTAAATTTTTAACATACCAACTTAGTTAATACAGGTTTTTTGAATGATTTGATAAAACAAGTATCTAAAAAAACAGATTTAGTGATATTTTCTAATTTTAATTTATTTTCGTATAACTTATCTGTGGTGTGTAATCTAATTTACATAATAGTCATAATTAGTATTATAAAAATGATCTACATATGGGGTGTTATCAATAGAAACAGCCCATTTTTACAATTTTTCGAAAAATGAGTTTTTATCAGATTTATAAATTTTGGCATGATTAACATTTTTCATTAATAAATAAAGGTTTATTTGCATAATAAAAAAATCAAGATAATGTAAAAGAAAAATTACATGAGGCTTCGTAGGGCCAACACATCACGAGATTACCCGATAGCCACCTGCTACCTTTAACCAATAAAAATCGTGAAATTATTAATCCCGGATCAGTCCAAAAATAAAAACAAATGATTAAACTTAAATATCTCAAAATAAGATATATGTAAAAAAGGGCTGTTTCTATTGATAACACCCCATTAGGGATTGGAACCGTTTAACCGTTTAAAATTGCTCCCTAGTTCCGGGCAGAATTATGTTGGTCGTGGTCCGGAATTATTTTAATGCCGGCCAAATTAAACGGTTAAACGATTAAACGATTAAACGATTAAGAAAAATTTTAGGCGGCTCCAATCCCTACACCCCATATACTCTACCCTTAACAGTGTTTTTAAAATACCAATCTATAAAATTTCGCTAGCCAATCAGATTTCGATATAAGATGTAACGTAAAAGAAGTGCAAAAAAATCAAACCAACTTATAGCTTAAAATTTTGGCTATGAAAATGCCTTCTGCATACTAATAAAAAATTTTCTTCGGGAAATTTTACTATAACTATAACCCTTTAAACCAAATACTAACTTATTGGTAGGACCCTAACTCTAAACTAATTGCGAAATTTTTTTTAATGGAATCACATAATGGGCGAAATTTTTTAGACTGGCAATACAGCAATAAATAATTAACTACTGCGTAATGTCAGATATCAGATATAGTAACTTATAACTTACGTTTGACTTATGTGCCTTTACTCTAATATTTTTTACTTAACCCGTAATACTTTATTTATCATTTCATTGTAACATTTGACATGCTGTATAAAAATCTATACTAATATTCCCGACGAATTATACGTAACGATAAACTATAACGATAATAAAGTGTAATAAGCATTATGTACTACGTATTCGGCTATTTTTTGTACATGTTACGTATTAGGATAAATTCAATAATTAAATCTGCATTTATAATATGTTGCACCGTAAAATCGATCACATCACACAATCTTAGGAACTATTCCAGACTGCGGTGCAGTTGCTACGTATGAGAATTAGTTCTTGAGACCTGATGTGGTCTAACGCCTTCTAGTATATCTTGTGTATAGCTTTACCTACACTAACCAATTACGAACTTATTCATTTCACCCAAGTTATACAAGCATATATTATCGTTATTCGTAAATTTCAATGTTGTAGCTCATCGAATCCAAATAAGGATTGATGTGGGTTTTATTTAAAAGTATACGGAAATACGAAAAGCATACGTAGAGAGAATTAACATTACGTACATACGTACAACTCTGATTCCTTTTTAATGCATTGTGTCGTATGTATGCGTGTTGTATGTATGCGTGGGTACCGTTGCCTTTTTTAGATCATTATAAGAACTGGGGGCAAAAAATTTGACAAGTTTTATATTTTTATTTACTAACCGAAAATAAAGGTGCATTAGTCTCAAATAATGGATACGAATTCTGCGGATGAAGATGTTGTAATTACTGTAACTCAGCAAAAAGTACGTACCTGTATAAGTTTGCTCCGAATTCTGGAATTGACTTTAATTGCATGTGAAATTATGAAAGGTTTTAGATGATATTTCGTCTAAATCAGCGAATAAAAGAAAGATATTTCTTCCGGATGAAATTGATAGTAAATTGTTCGAAACTATTAAGGAATGGAAGGCGGAAATTGGTGATGCAACTATTAAGGAATGGAAGGCAGAAAGTGGTGAAGACGAGATTACTGTAGCATTACAATCAATTTTTGAAAAGATATTTCCACAAAATAATCAAAGTTCAACAAAAGTGGATGCTATTACAATGACACTCTTTCCCGATAGACATCCTGATTTTATTCCCAAATATCTCGCAGATGTTAATAACAAAGAAAACAAAGAGAAGCGTCCGGGACCAATAAAAGTGGATGCTATTGCAAAGGCATTCCTCGCTTATAGCCATCCGGATTTTATTTTCAAATATCCAGCAAATGATAATAACGAAGTTAGAAAAGAGATGCGCAAGAACTTTGTACAATTGCTTCTTCGTGCAGGGCTGGTGGTTGAAAGGGAAATTTGCGAAGAACATAAATATTTAAAGATTTTTGCGCCATTCTCTTTGCTTTGTGAAAATGCCCAAAATATGCAACTCAAGTTTCCCCTGAAAGTAAATTTCATTTTCTGTTTTAATTCGTACTCATGCATACTAAAACTTTTTATATTTAAGACAGTTGTTTTTTTTTCCTTGATGTAGCCAACAAAAAATCTAAAAAACATGAAAGATTCAAACACAAAAGATCCAAAAAAGCGTTTCTTATTTAGCTTTACATTTGATGTCATAAACTCAAATAAAAATTCTGCTCCTTTCAAAACAAAAAATTTGAGAAGGTTCAAAGGTGGTGATGAGGGATCTAAGACCCTTTTGAATTTTTTCAGTCCAGCAAGACGAAATTTATTGGTAAATTTTCATTAAATCTAAATTTTCATTTTCTATATTATAGTGAAAATTCATTACATGTGTGTTTTTCGATAGGTTAACCGTATCATAAACGTAGCCAGTTACCCTGACTTAGAGAAGTACAACGATGAAGAAAGAAATGAGTTTGAACTATCAAAACTTATAAGTGAGAAAGTCTTCACTGGATGTTATCCTCTTCATTATGATAATTTAAGAAAGGGCTTGGCCAATAATCGGCAAAGTCAGCCATGGGACATAATACGAAGACAAATACGAGAATATTTTGGAGAAAAGTTGGCATTGTATTTTGTATTTATGAGTGGGTGCAATTTTTTTTTCACATCGTATATATGCCTTTGTGTATATTAATTATCTAATGATTGATAATGGTAACGAAATCAAATTCAGAATTTTATACGAATTGGTTGATAATTCCCTCTATCGTTGGAGTGATCGTGTTTATTTATGGATTGATTGATGCTTTTAGGTTTGTAATTAGTAATAATAATATCTAGATCTGTTGGGAATTAGCGGAACCTTCGTTTCCGCTTATTCACATACGGATCAGAATATTATTAATTAATCCTCCCGTGATCTTGATATAGTGATCGGGGAATTATGTGTCGATGAAATTTTAACACTTTTTCTTTTTTTTTAAAAAAAAAAAGTCGAGGAGTAGTGTCTTCAAAAGATATTGTTGATAATGCACTTACCGTTCCTTTTGCTTTACTTATGTCATTATGGTGTATGGAATTTACAAATTGTTGCAATGTGAGTCATACTCCTCTATAATCACAGTTTGTCACACATCAATTGTGCTATTTCATTATGATGCACTTATAAGGTTTTTTTTCGTGAATTTGAGCGTTGCAAAGTGAAAACCTGCAATCGATCATAGTAAATTATTAAGTACAACATTTCACTTTGTAACACTCATTCATTAACAAAGCATTGCACATTTGACATGATTGTAGAAAAGGTTTTCCTTACGATGCGATATAGGGTGACTATATAGGAGTACGACTATACCGTTCAGCATTGGCAAATTGCGTACGTATGTACTTGTTACGTGATTACGTCATATAAGGAGAATCAAGATCATGTTAATAGTGCCTATCACCATAGTTTGTCGTTATCCGGCATTTCGGATTTTCCATTTAGGAAATGTTAGGTATTAGCTGATGTCTTAGGACAGTGTCGTCATTCGGACAGCTCGGGCAACATTCAGTCAAAATTTAACAACGATGACCTATTTTATTTGATAGATTTATGAGCTAGATGTGGACTGTCCTAGGATTAGTAGACGTAAACAAAATCTCAATTCAAATAATTCATATGACCAATAGAATGGTCTATATTTTTCAGGGGAGTTAAATTGTTCTCAGCTAATATCTGACACATTCCTTATCATTATTCGAAATTTAACATTTTGATCCGGATATGTTTTAAATAAATTCGTAATTAAAACCTGAAGTGACGTAATGACTGCTGCATCATAGCTACCCTGCTTTAATTGTATCAGAAACACGTGTCTTACTGGTATTGGCGTATGCAGTCTGGTTGAATTAGCTTGCAAGTTGGATGCAGTCAATGCTATACGGTACATTGGATTAGCAAAACTATTTTACTCAATTTTTTTCTTTTCTTTTTATTTTTGACAGCTGCTCTGTTTCTAGAAAGTTGGAAAAGAGCCAATAGTACTTTACAATATAATTGGGATGTCATGGAATATGAAGAAGGGGTAATAATTTTATGATCAAAACATTGCAAATTTTTACATTAGTGTTAACATAGCTTTTATTAAATTTAAATTTTAATAGGAATTACCAAGACCAGGATTTTTTGGAAGTCAGTATAATTTGTTACACTCTTTTATCTTAAATAATCCATTTTTTCAAAATTAAACTATTTACTTTTCACACCAAAGGGACCCGTAGGTCATCAATGAAAGAGGAAATGGAAATTTATTTCCCTACAAGTGAAAAGTTAAAAAGGTTTACAGTTTCCGGAATTATTATCTTTGTTGCTGTAAGATTTTTTCATTAGTTCAATTAACATAGTATCTTTGTTATGCAGAAATCTTAGATTTTCTTATTTAATATTTAATAGCTGTGTATTTTTCTGATTACGATTGGAGTTTTACTTGTTTTTCCAAAAATATGGATTCATGTTGGTATTTATACATCCGTCACCACTGCCTTAGTGAGTCTCACAGTAATGATTGTACTTAGAGTGGTAAATATATATTCGATTTATCCAATGTTGAAAATTTTTTTTAAAAAAACTATATAATAGTGTTAACACTTCTATTTTGTAATAACAAAAGGTTTATTTAAAATTGGCACTACGTCTGACAAATTATGAAAATCATAGAACCGAAACACAATATGAAGGTTTCTATTGTATTTAAATTGATTATTCTTGTTTTTATTTTATATATATATATTTTTTAATTCATTATCTTGCAAATATTAAGATTCGTTTATTCTTAAAATATTCCTTTTCGACTTTGTGAATTTTTACACCGCCTTGTTCTATATTATATTTTTTAAACAAAAGGTAAGTGTTATATTATTTTATTAAGTTTCAATTATTATATTTTAACTGGAGCCTTACTTCAACTTAGTATATAAGGAGTTTGTTAAACAGACCTGAAGTTACAACGGGATGTGAATATGACAATTGCTTTACAGAACTTACTGTTCAATTAGCAATTGTTATGGTTGGGAAACAAGCATTTGGACAAATAACAGAAGTTTTTATTCCGTATGTATTTTTGCATAATACAGCATTTCTTTTTTATAACCTTCCTCTAAAATCGTTAACTGTTTATAGGCTTTTTGTGAGTAAATTTAACGAATGGTATAGGCAATATATGAGAGGATCAAAGAAACCGACAGATGAAGATCAACGACCGGTAAAAGTTGAACATTCACAATGGGTAAAAGATGGTGATTTAGTTGATCCTCCACAAATAGAAGATTCCGAATATGTAAAAATTGGTCTGTCTTATTTATTTTATACCTAATAAACTTACATATAATAATAATATTGTTATATTAATATGCAAATCAAATCTTTTAGTTATACAATTCGGGTTTATATCATTATTTTGTTCAGTATTTCCTTTAGCTCCATTGTTTTCTTGGATATATAACTCAATTGAAGTCAGATCAGATTGTTACAAAGTAATTTTTTGTTTATATTGTTATAGAGTTGATAGGAGTATTAGGATGGCTGTAATTAATACAAGCTAGACAAGTCATTCATATACCTTAATCAACATTCTTACTTATAATTAAAGCATTAAATAAATAAATTAATTGCCAAATTTATTATTTTTTATTTGAAGTATCTAAATACTATGCGCAGACCAGTAGGATATATGGCTCAAGATATTGGAATGTGGGAAAAGGCCTTGAATTTTCTTTCAATTTTTGGTGTACTTACAAATGCTATTATTATTGCATTTTATTCTAGTTGGTTGAGAGCACAATTCCTTGATTATGTGGACGGAGATGAATCTAGTCTGCTAATTGCTAGGCTTATGTTTATTATTGTTTTTGAGGTAATTAATGCCATTAATTAATATTAATATGTAGTTATTTAATATAAATTTTCATAATTATTTTTTATTTAAACAGCACATTGTGTATGCAATTAAGTTAATTGCATATCTGATACCAAACCAATCATCATCTCTAAAAAAAGCAATTGTAAAAGAAAAATATATGGTTAATTATACAAAATCGGAAATGAAAAGAGTATGTCATCATAAAAAATTAGACAGTGAAGAAAGTACAAACACTTTAACTTAATGGATTTTTGATGTAATATATGGACAATTTTTTAATTTAAAAATTATTGTCGCAGCTAAAGCTGGAAACAGCTTAAGTTAGAAATTTTAAATATTTTAATATGAAACTTCACAAAAAATTTTTTGAGATGCTTTTTTTTGGTTTTATTTTTATAGTTAGGTTAGAGTTTTGATAATAGAAAAGTATAGGGTTTATATGTATAGGGTTTATATTTTTAGGTAATTTCCAGCTTCTGCCGTTTTCAATTTCAGCTGCGATAATTTTGTATTAAATAAATATCCTATTTTGATGTATAAAATATAACTATTTATTATTATAGTTTTTATAGTTTTAAAAAAAATAACAGGTATATTATCACCCTTTAATAATTTCGCTGAAATTTGAATTCGAACCTATTTCAATATGAAATGATAAAATTTTTTTAATCTTTTTTTTTTTTTTAGGTGTTTATGAGTATGTTTAAATCAAGATAGAGTAAATAATTTGTGCATCGAATAAGCTTCATTTATTGAGTTTAATCTTTGAGCATTGGTCAAAGATAAATTTTAACAACCGTAAACTGCTGTATACAAGATCTTCCATAATAGTAGACCCATTATGTACTATACTTAGGTGTCATGCTCTTTAAAATTTTCTTTTTAATGAGATAAGCGTTCAACCATGTACTATACCTGAATCTATTATATGTTTTAATTGGTAGAATGTAAGACACAGATCTTGTATATGGCAGGTTTACGGTATGTGTTTGATAGTGATAAATATTTTAATTAAAAACTTTGAATTTGATTTAATATTGAATAAAAAATACTATTGTTTTGTCAATGTTCTCGTAGAGTCCTCCTTTAAGAACGAAGAATTGTATTAATATTTCAACTTGAAAATCCAATATAGATGAGGCTGTTAGATCGTTTAAAGTTGAATAGTTGTTTTTAACATCCTCCCTTCTTTCGTTTTTGATACACCTGCACTTTGTTGATACTCTTAAATGTACCCCAAAAATTTTATAGCGTTTTCGATTTTTAAAATCACCTGATCACCAAACTTAATCGACCAATGGGATTGCAGGTAATATTCTAAAGAAATTTATAACAAAGCTTAAATTTTTTTTAATCGGATCTAATTTTTTTATTATGCCAATCATGCTTGGACTTCTAGTTAATGGTGGTAAGATCATCAAAATCAGCTTAGTGTATCGCGAGATATGCGTAAAAAAGTTTCACAATTCAGTTTTAAATTTTTTAAGAAATTTTAAATAATCGCAAAAATTTTTTACGATACACTTAGCCAATATTGTTGATCTCATCACCTTCTCTACAATCTTTATTAAACATTTAATTAAGATTGGCATAATAGAAAATTGAGTTTCGATCGAGAAAACCTCAAGCTTTTTTTATAAATTTCTTTAGAATCATACCCGTAATCCCATTGGTCGCAAAACATTCATTTTTGATACTCTGTGCCTACTTTTTTTGATACATCTAAACATACCTAAAAACTAGCTCGTTATTATAGTAAAAACTAGTAAAAAGTATAGAAATTTTAGGGTATGTTTAGATATATCAATGCAGATGTATCAAAATAATCTTTAGTAATCATATGATTAAAAAGTTGCCCAATTAGATTTAATTAAATATGCATAGAAATACATTCTGGGTTTGGCAATAAGGATGGCAAAGAAATATGTGGTCTTCACCAAAATGGCATTTTTTAATTTGAAGTGAAATGACACAAAAATTTCTTGCAATTCCTGCAACAAGTACGCAAAGCTTATTTCGGATGCATGAAATGCTACATATGAGTGCGAAGAGAACGTTATAAAATCCAAAAGCATTTGGTATAATGATATTTCTAAAACATAATATACAAATTACAAGTTCGTATAAATTGTATATTAAAGAATATAATAATACAATTGCTGAGTTTAATATCACACTAAGTTTTTATATGATATAATTAATCTATTTTTGATATTTTAAAACCCCCTGATAATCGAAAATCTCGAGTTTACGACCAAACAATGATCAAAACTCATCGGTTCCACTCGTTAATTAAAACCCTATAAGCCAATAGCATCAGATGCAACAATATTTAGTTGTAGCCCTATGTTTGGGAAAAAATGAATTTATAGTAATAATGTTTTTATTTAGCAGAGCAAAAGATGATAAAACTCACCCTCGTTGTAGTGAAGAGTGATCTGTTCTATTAATAAAATTTTCAAAAATTAATAAAAGTTCACTAAATCAAGAGTTTTATTATAAATTCACTATATCAAGAGAATTTTATATAGACTGGCTTTGAGCTTAACTTCACTATATCGAGATTTTAATTAGTCTTCACTATAGTTTGCTATAATGAGAGTATAGTATATTTGATTAATATGTAAAACCGTGTATAACGATTCTTCGCATATCACTTAGGGAGTTGCCTTCAGGAATTTTTATTAAACTGCTTGCAGCTAACTTCTATGTATACCAAACTTGTTTATAATGATATTTATAAATAACACAATTAGTACATTTGCCTTTTTTTTTTTTTTAATGTATTTATCTAAATATAGTATTTCATTAGCCGGTTCAGTACTTGTACGTAGCCAGAGTTTACGAGTAATACAAGTAGTGCAGCGTTACCAAACTAAAAAATTTCACTAAAGAAATTTCGCTGCTAGATTAGGGTAGATTTGCTATTAATTGAGGTTAGGAAGAGGTTTTCTAACATCAAAATTTCGCAAGAAAACCTTTTGTTTAATGCGCAGAAGGTAGTTTTATAGGTAACATGTTGAGTTTTTGGTTTGTTTTGATTTTTTTGCGTTTCTTCTTCGTAATACCTGATCTTGAAATCTGATTAGCCAACGAAAATTTTTTTTGATGTTATTTACCCTATATCTGAGGCTCAAGGTTATATTAAACAGTTTTAACTTGGCGTGGCCTTAGAAGTTCTATAATTCGGGCCACTTGCGTAATGCCGGCTCAAGTTATAGATCATGTGTGGCCTAAAGATTTGCAAGTGTTTAAAAATATATCTTTATACTTATACTACTAAAAATTTAATGTGTAAGTTTACTAGTATATTTGCTATTTCATAATACACGCAAATATTAATGAGTTGCAATTACAGACAACTTTGTGTGAGTGATTTGTCAGGAAAATCTGCCAGTAAAATGTAATGGCAAACATTTGTGGACTTGAATAGTTTTTTTTTTTTTAAATATTCTGCAAAAAAAAAAAAAAAATTGAATAATGATTGAACTAAAGTTTCATAAATAAGTATAGTGTATATCCATTAATAACGATAAATGTTATACTTATCAATAAAATTAAGGAAATAAGTGTCGTCATGTAAAACCAATGTTGGAAATCTTATGTTCTCTCAGAAGAATATTATTATTTCAAAATTGAGAACATGTTTTGTTTTAAAAAAAATTCTCTTACTATATTTGCGTAAATTAACTTCCATGGCGTCATTTAGGTACACATTGCTTAAAGAGAAAACTCATAAATAATTTATCCGGTGCGAATCATAATTTTTTATTATTAGCTTTCTTCAAACAATTTTTCTCTAAATAACCCCATGGCGTTAATTCGCATATTTAATAGTTTATGAAAACTAATTTAGTATAGATAATATTTATGAGAATATTGTTTTAGAATTTGAGACCATTTTTTTAAAACCATTTAGATTTCCAACACTGGTAAAACCAGCAATCTTTTGAATTTAACGCTTCATAATGATAAGTAATGGCTTATAAGCTCTGAAACATTATATATTACAGGTTAATTCCATCGTATGATATACGAAATTAAGAAACCTGAAATCTAGTTTGCATTCCATATTTTGTGTCTAACAGCTATTATATCTAATAATCACTACACATCACAAAACTATTAAAGTACCATTGTGACACATCTTTCATCTCAGAGCTTCAGAGGATTTTTCAGCTTCACTGAGAGTCATCCCTTAACCAGAAATTTCAACTATATTGCGAAGTGAAATATTGAAATCAATAGTCATTGGCTTAAACAATCTGTATTATATATATGTAGATATTTTTTAACATTAATATAGATGTTACCAAATTTTAGCACTGAACCAAATGCTTTGATTTACTATATTTACAGTACAATAAAAATCTCATACGTATGAAAAGGCGGAATAGGAAATACCGCATTTACCTAAAATAACGTTCTGGGGCGTTATCTAGGGGCATGCAATTTAAAGAGAGCTAATAGTTTATTTAACTGAAGATTTTTTAATTTAAAATAAAATTATGAGTCATTTTCGGTTGAATTAATTGTTAGCTTAATTCAAATTGCATGCCCTGTGGCGTTATTTTGGGTAAATATGGTATTTGCGTGCAGTCACCTCCTTTAGTTCTTTTAGACCGACGTCTCTTCATCTAAGCCGGTTCTTTAAACTGACATTTCTAAACATAAAATTTCAAATTTTATTATCACATCGGTCTATAATTTTATATACTGAATTTTTTTAAAAAAATAAGAACATTAGTTCGGCATGTAGAAGGTTACTACTGGATAATTTTGGTTTAGAGGATAGGGCTCTTGGAAGTGCCTCATAGACAGATTGGCAATGGTGTAAATGAAGCTCTGAACGGACTCAATGGAAAGTTTATTGACTTCCATTAGAACCTCCATTAAATTAAATTGCCAACTGGACGACTAATGCATTCCCTTTAAGTTAAAGAAAGTCTTATTCTAGGGACAAATGCATAAAAAAATTTTTTTACCCATGCATAAAAGTTCAGTTGTTAATAATGCTTGTATGGATTCACAATAATACGTAACATGATTTTGATTTCTAGAAACTTGGTATTCCAAATCCAAATTCCTATTTTAACGTTAATCTTTCAAAGCGAACTTTTTTAAGCAACTTATCGGAAAAATGCAAATTTGATCACTCAAGGATAGACAATTAAACAATATATAACTTGATTTGTCAATTGCTATGCAACTGTCATGTTGCCATGCATTTTAGTGAGAAAATCTTTCTTACCCATTAAGTCCTCGAATTTCCAGTATTTGCCAATTCATTGTTTTATTTAAGCAAGCACAGTATAACTTTCGGGTTTTTTATTCCTATCAAGGGAGCACATACGTAATATCGATGTTATTGTTATTGTACATATACGTAAGTACCCACTGGTGTTTGATCTTATTGATAATCACAAATATATAAATATGTAGCAACAAAAATTCTCAATTACTCTTCGTTTTCTAATAACAATATGGGTTCCAAATACGAAGAAAACATTACTTTGCCTAACGATAAAACCGTTAAAGGTAACGTAACCTTATACTTTTGATACATTATAATACATTTAATTTAATTTTGCTTATTATTATTATTATCGTATAGTTTATACTGGCCTTTTTATTAATAACGAGTTTGTTGACTCCGTTGATGGTAAACGTTTTGAGACCATCAATCCTACAACGGCTCAAGTTATTACTTCTGTAGTAGAAGCATCTGAGAAAGATGTTGACATTGCTGTTGAAGCCGCTACAAGAGCCTTTAATGAAGAATGGATTCATGTAGACGGAAAGAAACGTGGAACATTATTAAATAAACTTGCTGACTTAATGGAACGTGATATCGATGATTTGGCTGCTCTTGAAGCATTAGATAACGGTAAAGCTTTTACGATAGCAAAGGTTCAAGATCTTCCTGCTACAATTGCAGTTTACAGATACTTTGCCGGATGGTGTGATAAGATCCATGGCAAGGTAATTGGATTTATCTTACTAGGTTTGCTTAGCTTTAAACATGCAAATTGCCACTTGTGTGGCATTTGTCTCTTTAATACTAGTGATATAATATTTAAGAGTTCCTTTTCTTATTGTTCAAAAATTAAAGCCTCTTGGATTTAAACTCTACTTTTTTTTCGTAGGTCATTGAGACCCAACAGGATAAATTCTGTTACACTCGTCATGAACCGATTGGCGTTTGTGGTGCGATTATTCCTTGGAATTTTCCACTTCTTATGCAATCTTGGAAATTAGCTCCAGCTTTAGCATGTGGTATTTTGATGTTTAATTTAAAATGTCTGTAAATGTGATTAAAGTCGTCTACTAACAATAAATATTTTTTCATAGGTAACACCATAGTGCTTAAATCATCTGAATTAACTCCATTGACTGCTCTTAAAGTGGGTGCCCTATTTAAAGAAGCTGGGTTTCCAAAAGGTGTCGTGAATATTCTGTCCGGATTCGGTCCTACAGCTGGTGCTGCTATTGCTAATCATATGAAAGTCGATAAAGTCGCTTTCACAGGCAAGATCTAAATTAATTTTTAAGTTAATTATGAAAATTTTATTTAGAAATAATATTTTTTTTCAACTTTCTTTCTTAGGATCGACCATTGTAGGAAGATCTGTATTAAAAGCATCCGCTGAAAGTAATTTGAAAAAAGTTTCTTTGGAATTAGGTGGAAAATCACCAAATATTATATTTGCTGATTCTGACCTTGAAGAGGCTGTTAAATGGGCATATCAAGGAATCTATTTCAATCATGGTCAATGCTGTTCTGCTGGTTCTCGCGTTTATGTCGAAGATTCTATTTATGATAATTTCCTTGAGAAATTCAAATCATATGCACAAAACATCAAAGTTGGAGATCCTTTTCATAAAGATACTTATCAAGGACCTCAAATTTCCAAACGACAATTTGACAGGTAATATTATATCACGTACATATTTTTATAAAAATAATATAACTAAATAATCTTCTGTGTATATTTAGAATCATGTCTTACATTGAATCTGGTAAAAAAGAAGGTGCAACTTTATTACTGGGTGGTAAACAACACGGTGACGAAGGATATTTCATCGAACCAACTATTTTCGTCGACGTGGTAAAGTTTTATTCTAACTTTTATACATTCTTATTATTATGAGTACGTATTAAGCTTTTTATTTTTTAATAATTAAGAATGAAAAAATGAAGATCATGCAAGAAGAAATCTTTGGTCCCGTTGTAGCAATTGCAAAATTCAAAACTGTTGATGAAGTAATTGAAAAGGCACATTTGACAAATTATGGCTTGGCCGCAGCTGTGTTCACTAAAGATATATCGCGTGCAATAAAAATCTCAAACGCGTTGAGAGCTGGTACAGTATGGGGTAAGTTTTTCTAAATCCCTTCCCCCAATATAATTAAAACCTTTACACTTGATTATATCTAATAGCTTAACTTTATCATCTACTTTACACAGTTAACTGCTATAATGTAGTTGATGTCAATACGTAAGAAATTAAAATTGTCAAATTCTCTTATTTGTTTCCATCTTATGTATATCTATTTTATTTATTTATTTATTTTATTTTTAAAATCAGCCCATTTGGAGGTTACAAAGAATCTGGAATTGGTAGAGAGCTCGGAAAATACGCGTTAGACTTATATACTCAAGTGAAGACAGTTCAAATTAATCTTGAATCTTAAATGTGAATTGTGCAATAATATATTGATTCAAACGTAAAGTAGAATAATGTTTGCTGAAAACATTTCATATTCTAGTGTATTTGCTTTTTTTTTAGTTGAAGTACAAAAAATTCTTTTTGCTTGCTTGGATGTGTGGTTTTTGTAAATAAATTCACGTGCTCTTAGGATTTAAAAACGTTACATTCGGTATTTTTTTGTACTTATCCTTTCATAAAAATTGCATCAAACCGATTGAACGCGTTTATTGTATAAAAATTTCGTATTATTTTAATTAATAAAGAGACCGTTGGACAATTTTTTAAGTAATCATTAATAATACAATAATTTATTATGAAATTATCGTTTGCTTTTAATCCGGTTTTGTTGGTCATAAATATTTTATATTATGTTTCTGTACGGTTTCCGCAATAAAAATAATCATTCCGCTTATTCCAACTTGACAAACAATAGCAACTCATAATTGAGAACCATATTTGAAGATCGATCAAAATGGAGTTCGAGTTAGCATTACTTTTTTGATGCGGTTGGTTACTATTTATATCGGTAATACAGTATACACAATATATAGATCGTGTATTTCTTTAACGACTCCTATATGAGTGCCGCCAAAGGAAAAGGGCGCATCAGCTATTTAAGTATATTACTGATTAATTATTGCATTCAGCAATGATGTGTGATTCGTACTAAATTTATACATTTTATATTAACATAATTGAAAATCTAATCTGCATTATTATTTTTTTTTTTTTAAGGTGATCTTTTTGATCTTTTGACTTTTATTAACAATTTTTTTGGTAATGTGATTCTGTAAACCATTACAGGAAGAGTGTACAATTGGTTACATGTGTAACTTTTTGATATTACCTATTTAAGAAGTCTATTTGAAGGTTCTCCATCAATTACTGTACCTAATACTCTTGTTTGGATGTTTCATTTTAAACCCTCTGAACCTGCATCTGTGTTAACATTATTAAATCATGTTTAGGTTATCATCTTAACCTTAGGATTATTTTATCCTTAAAATAAGTCTTCTATACACATTTTTACAGTTGATTTAGGTATTGTTATTACAGAATCAACACTTACAATTAGAGTTTTATCTTTAACTACTATACCTTATAAAGTCATTCAAATCTTAGCATCTACTTTACAGCATATCCTTAGTTCTTTAGTATACTTCTTCTTATTTTTTAGACTTCCAATCTAGACAGTTCATGTAGGATTATAATTAGTTTATTAGTATATCAGGTTGACCCAATATTCTTTTTTTTTGGTTCATTCTAATAGTCTAGTTGGTGATATTTTTAAGGTTTCCAATTTGAAAATTCTTATTTATTCAAGTATTTTAATATTGATATTCATTTTTAGTGATTTAGTCTTTACAATAACACTATCAAAGATCTGTATTACTTTTTTATTCAGATCTTCTCAAATATATTTTTGTTTTTTAATTTTAACAGATTTATATGATTACAAGGCTTTATCTAAAGTTTGTATTATCCAATACTAGTTTGCATTCTTTTATATACCCAGTTACACAAATGCTTTATGACTTGCTAGTCATGTTGGTGTAACTGTTATTACAGGTATTTTAATCTAATTATTAGAAACAGTTTTTATAATATAAATATTATATAGGTAATTATTTAAATTTTTATTATTAATATAATTTAATACCTAACCTACTATTTGAAGAATTGACAACTTATCTACTTTACTGTTATTACATTTCTAATTTGCATAATTATTGAACTTAATAATTAATAAGTAATATAAAAAATAACTCTTTTTGTATATTATCAAAACAAATAAATTAAAAATAAAATATAATAAAGATTCTGATATTAATAATAAATAATAATAATTTTGAACCAACATGCATCTAGTATACAATAAAAAAACAAATAAGAATAGAATAACATAAATAAAACAAAATAAAAAAAAAAAAAGTAACAAATCAAAATAGTAATAATAGAAAAAGTTTTTCCAAATTACTAAAAAAAGTTTTCTTATACAATCTTCTTAAAAAAGTTTTAAAAAATATAACTATGTATAATACAACAGCAATCAAGAAAACAATCTTTAAGTCACAAACAACTTGACTTTTTATCAGCAATAACAAATGAAGAAATACTGTTATTATTACTATTTTTGTTAATATAAAAAATAGGCAATCTAGTTTATCTTTAAAAAATTCTAAAATGACATTATTTATTATATAAAAAGTTACAATAACAACAAACTATATAAGAATAAATAACAATATACAAATTAGGGAGCTGACATTTAAGAGCTCATTATAGCCTTCCAGAGAAATATCAATTGACTATGTCTCATACCCCCAAAGTCAATTATTTGATAATTATAAGTTTTAAAGTAATTAATAATATAATTATAGGGATGTGGCGACCTAGTGAAGTGGTCAGGTTGTTAACCCCCCAAGTGGTAGGTTGGGTGTTCAAATCCTATTAACAGCAAAAATTTGGATAATCACCTATATAATATTCATATTACAGCAACTGTTACTAATGATTAGGTTAGGATACCTGTAATAGTGGTCACACCAGCATGACTGACAGGTCATGGGGCATCTGTGCAATGTTGGAGTTACACAGAGGAATGCAAACTGACATATTGGGTAATGTAAACACTAAATAAGTCCTTGTGGCCATGTAAATCTGTTAAAATTGAGTAACAAGAAGTTCATTTAGGAAGATCTAAGTAGAGAGGTAGCTAGATCTTTGATGGTTCTACTGTAAAGGCTAGCCTGGGAAAATGGATACCAAGATCTAGTACTCAGTCCTAGTAGCTGGACAGGCAAAAACCTCCAAGTTGGGAGTTTCGAAGGTACTACCAACCAGGCTGCCAGAACGAATCAGAGGAAAAGGATATTGGGCCAACCTGATATACTAATGGACTGGTCATAGTCCTACATAGGCTATTTGGATTGGGAGTTTGGTAAAAAGGCAGAGGAAAAGGCAGGAGTATACTAAAGTACCAGGGTTATGCTGTGAAGTAGATGCTAGGGTCCAAGTGAACTCTATAAGGGCATAGCAGTTTAATGGTTAACTCTGACTGCAAGTGTTGGTTCTGCTATAGCAATACCTAGGTCAGTTGTAAAAATGGGTACAGAAGGCTCTAGGGGTTTACCTTAAAGATAAATTAGTCCTAAGGTTGAGGATAATGATCTGATACATCTGAGATAACCAGTGATGTTAATACAGGTTACAGGTTTAGAGGGTTTAAAGTGGAACATCCAAGCAGTGATGTTAGGTATAGCAATTGGTAGGGAACCTTTAGGTGGACTCCTTAAATAGGTAATATAGAAAGGTTACACATGTAGCCAATTGTATGCTCTCCTATAGTGGTTCATTGAACCACAATACTGATAAGTGATTAATAAAAGTTAAAAGACCAAAGAGGTCATCTTAATAAAAAATAATAATAATAATAATATAATTATATAAATCTTGCATATTTTATAAACTCCTTGCATATTTTTATGCACCCCTGTATTATTATGCATAATCATGCATATTTATGCATATTTATACATAATAATATATAATAATACAAAGGGTGCATAAAAATATGCAAGGAGTTTATAAAATATACAAAATTTATATAATTATATTATTAATTACTTTAAAACTTATAATTGTCAAATAATTGACTTTGGGAGTGTGGGACATAGTCAATTGACATTTCTCTAGGGGGCTATAATGACCTCTTAAATGTCAGCTCTCTTATTGTAAATAACAACAATATAACAATTATTATAAATAATAACATATTTACTAATAACTTAGTTATTCAAAAATAACAAGATCCAAGTTTAGATAAGTTTAAGATTCAAAATATATAAACTAGTGCTTGACAAAATTAAGTAAAAACTTGAATGTCAAGTTTTTAATTAAGTTAAACATCTAATAGTAATATAAATCAAATCTCAAATTAGTAATTTATTTTTAGTAAAATCTAATAAATTTCTGATAATTTGTGCCTAATATATATATATAAAATTATAATCTTTATATTAAGTATTGTATTCTATTTTTTGCCTTTATATTTTATAATTACTTATATATTAAAATTCTTAATGCCAATAACTTTTAACATTATTATATCAAATAAATAAAAATATTTAAAAAAGTTGACTTACTTTTTTAAACTTTCTGTAATTATCATAATCAGTTACATTACAGAGATTCTTACAGATTAGTAAATGAGTTATAATTATGTTTAACTACTAGTAAAATGTAAGTTATTTACTTAAATTTTTTGTATTATATACAAATTTTATTTTACTACTTTATTGTCAATTTAAATAAATGAATATAAGTTTATTCAGAAGCAATATAAATAAATATTTAAGCATTCAAGTTTGGTTATTGAGGTTTGTTCAAATATAAGGTTGTTAATAAAGTATGCTATATTATAATAAAATATATAACCCACTTCTAAAGTGCTCCAGAGTAGGTTATATATTTTATTATAGACTAAAGTACTCTTTTAATAACTCTATTTAAATGTAATTGTTATATTTTATAAATTTATAAGTCTTATAGTTTTAATTATTTATATTTTATATTAAGTACATTTTTTATAAGTTATAGTTTTTAATATTATTAAATATTACAATTATGTAATTGTGTAACAAATTATGCTATATAAAACCAAAAACAATATTAACTTTGATATTAATATATTATAGTGCCAATTTTTATTCAAAGTTGAAATCTAATAAATCTTGAACTAAATTAAGTTTGACATTTGTAAAAAATATTTGTTTCTCAAAATGTAACTATTAGAATTATATAATATTATTAAAAAAGGATCAAATAATTGAAAATTTTAAAAAATAGTATTATGGCTTGTGAAGAGAAAGGTATTAGTTTATGTAAAATAAATTAGATCTATTTCAAAATACTATATAGCAATTTTGTTTTATAATTCAGTATGAAAATATATAAATAATAAAATTTTTAAAAACATTTAGT